GGATGTTTATAATCTCTGGGGTCAGCAAGAAAGTTTTCCCAGAGAATAGTATTGCACAGTTGATCGCAGATGGGGCTTGCTTGTTTTCTCTTTAAAATTAAAGGAAAGTGAGGAAAGATTATCCACCCAGGGAAAGCTTATCTTGACATCAGAAGGGCCTTCCTTTTGATGCTCCATGAAAGGGTACTATGAACTAAGGAACATAACTGTAAGAAGGGAGTGGTACATATATATTTAAGCACCTTATTCCTCTGCAGTAGATCACTACAATAGTTCAGAAATTCAACATTTGAATGCTCTTCTGTTGTCCTGTATCAGGAAGTATTGTGGTGCAGAACACTAATGGAGCTAGAGAGACTTTTATTAACCACTACACACCTTCCTCGCCTGCCACCCCCATGCCAGCTGGGACTGTTGTGATCCCAGAAGCAATGAAGCAGACCTGGGGCAGATTGAGTTAACTTTGCTTCCAGGCTGTGCTCTGGGTAGTTGAGGCAAAGACGACATAACGACAGTTTTTAGGACTTGGGAGAAGAGTATTCCTAAGACTTAAAAAAATTCTTTGGTAGCTGCCAGGCTCTTTGCTAGTGGCTTTTATCTTCCTGGACTGCTTTTTACTGTCTCGTGGACTGTATTTTACCTGGGGATTGTTGAATATTTTTTACTAATTGTTTTTCTGAACCTTTGGACTCTGAGTGATCCTTTGCACCATAGGTGGAACCATGATTGGGACAGGTTATAACATACAGTATAGTGTTACTAGTCTTAATTGGAAATTGTTTTCTGCTGTTATTTCCCCCCCCCCCCCCAAAGAAAAGACTCCTTAGGAGTTCCTAGAGGGAATAATTGAATTAAATATTTATTAAGTTGCTACTATAGGCATGCAGCTGGCCAGGTTCTAAGGATGAAATGAACTTTGCCTGCCCTCGAGTAGCTTACTGTATTTTGGGAAATTTTACATGCACATAGATATATAGATTGTTATCATAAATTTAGGCAAATATAAAATTAAATGAAATTAAGGTAAAAACAGTCACCTTTCTAATTTATAAAGAATGGGACTGCTTTTCTGCCAAAAACCAAAACTACCCAACTAACAAAAAAAAATAACTCTTGAATTAAAAAGTCTTCTTTTGTTCCTCTAAGACAACCCATGACGTGCTCTAAGGTTGCTATCAGTGGCTTTTGATTTGCCTTTAACATCCAATAAATTATCCAGTTATTTCTATATATTGCTAACTAAGCCAACAAACTTTTGTAAGTGCTTACTGTGTGCCAGGGATTATGCTATGTGCTGGTAAGACAATGAAAAAAAAATTTTTAATAGTATCTGTCCTCAGTGACCTTACATTCTAATATTAAAGTAACTATGCAAATACAAGATATATACAATGTAAATAGAAGAAATGCTTAGGTGGGTCGGGCAGGAAAGGCCCCTTGTAGAAGGTGGGATTTGAGCTCAATCTTGAAGGATGCTTGGGAAGCCCAGAGGTAAGGAGAGAGAGAACTTCCAGGAATGGCGTTTGGGAAATATATCTTCAGGCATAATGATTGGTTGCTGTGTTAAGAGTTATGAGGTATTTCATTATATTTTTGTGGTTACTGAGCATATTGTTCTCCTGCTTCTGCTTACTTTTCTTCTGTAACAGTTTATACAAGTCCTTCTAAGTTTATTTGAATTCTTAATATACATCATTTCAAATGTTTTAGTTATTTTCCTTTATACTACTTAAATACCATAATTTGTTTAGCTGTTTTCCCAGTCATGGATAAATAATTTCTATTAGTGGTATCATTGGGTTAACATATACTGCTTAGTGACCATTTCTTTAGTATGATTCCAAATAGTTTTCCAGAGCAGTTGGACTAATTCACGGCTCCATCTACAGTTAACACTCCTGTTCTTCTATTTCACTTGCCCTGAGTTTGTTCATAGGGTGTGAAGCAGTAATAGCTTTTACCACTTAAAGAACTTGTTCCAGTGTGTTTTGGAGAAAGTTAACTCCAAAGGCTTCAGCAGAAAAAGATGACAGTTCCTCAGGCATGAAAACAAGACCTAATTTTTTCCAAACTATTCTCATAATATCTGCCTTTGAATAGAATTCTAAGCTCAGGAAAAGAATTGAAAATTGCCATTTAATTGCTATAGCAAGATTTACAGTTCTATGGGTTGCCTTTAGGAGCAAGTCTCACGGCATCCTTTCTGTAATGACATATTCATATTCTGAATAACACCATCATATCAGTGAGGTAACATTGGCAGGCAAGAAGCTTGGAAAATATTACCAGATACCCTGCTCCCTGAGAGTGCGTTTTAGAATTGTATGGCTTTGTGGCTGATGTGCCTACAACATTTCTGCCTTGTGGGGAGCTATTGAGATCAAGAGACATATAGAAACTTCCCAATTGCCCCCTTATGGAACTGCTCTTGGGGGATATCAGAGTGTTCATAACTTCTGATCTTTGTCACCTTGCCCTGAACAAGCACTGCAGAGACTTTATTCTCTATTTTTGTCACTTAGCTTAGTAGCTGCTGTCAATCGATCACTGCTGATCTTTTGTGTCTTTTAGAAACATTTTCTTTCTCTTTTATGGATCTAACAATCAATAAATACAATTTTTAATATACAAAAAAGAATGAGTCTTGTATAAGCAACTAAGCTTTTACTGTGTACAACTTTCAAAAGAAGTGTGTGTATATATATAAAATTTAAACAAGCTATTAACAAAATTTTTTCATCTTCTGTACTGTTTTTCTAATGTGTATATCTTATTTGGTATCCTTTTTTTCATATCTGTTACTGCCCACTAACTTACTACCACCACTTTCAGCCTTCCACTCCAGTAGAAGCCCTCTCTTGTAATAAATACATATATTCTCGCAGAATAAATTAATGGGCATCTCCGTGAATACACATCATCCTGTGTCTCAAAAGTTACTTACTTCTATACCAAATGGTGAGAGTTATGTTTCATGACCAGCCTTTTGAAGTTATGGTGCTGCCTTGGTCAGAGTCCTAAGGTCTTTCAGAGTTTCCCCCCCATAATATCGTTATTATGTATTGTAGATTGTTTTCCTGGTCCTGCCCATTTAAGTCTGCTTCATTTAGTATTTCTTCTCATGTTTTTTTGAAGCTACAATGTTTATCATTGCCTGTGTGGTATTCCATTACATTCATAAAATACAATTCATTTAGCCAGTCCTCAGTTAACAGGCATCTGGTTTGTTTCAAGTTCTTTGCTATTACTAAAATGCTTTTATAAATGTTCTGGTACATATGGACTTTTTTCTTCATTTGGTGATGTTGCAAATTGTTTGGATGTGGTTGAATCAGTTCAGAACTTCACCAGCAGTCCATTTTAGCATGTTTGTTCTCACATAACCTCTTTAACAAGCATCATTTTCCTTTTTTGTACTCATTGCCAATATGATGAGTATGAGATGTGACTTTATAGTTTTAATTTACATTTCTCTAAGTATTTAGAGATTTAAAATTAGAGCGTTTTTAATAATTTGCATTCTTTCATTTGAGAGTTTATTATATCTTTTAACTATTCAGCTATTGGTGATTTATTCTTGTTCTTATGTCTGAATTTTTAAATAACTTGATCAAAAAATTAGCTGTGATGATATTATGTAATTTTCCTTTTGTGATTACTTTTGCTTGTGCAAAAGCTTTGAATTTTTGTAACCTAAAGTTCTGCTTTATCTTTTATGATCACCTATGTTTTTTCTTTTTAAAATTTTTAAAATTCTGAATTAAATAAACACTTCTATAGAACAGAAAAAGAGGATTTCACACAAAGTCATGAATCTGTTCTATACAGCTTGCTTTTCCTTTTAAGTATATAAAGTCAGCATGGGGCTCTGAAATCTGTCCAGATTGAATTTATTTCCTTCTGGTCTTCTTAGATTAATTTCATCTTAAAAAATGTTTTAGTGATTGGCTTTTTTTTTTTCCCCAGTCATCCCCTATGATTCTCTCCCTCTCTCCCGTTCTTTGTAACAAGTATACAAAGTCAAGCAAAACATTTCAAACATTGTTCAACTCTGAAAATGTCTCATTCTGTACCTTGAATCCATCACTTAACCTCTTTTTTTGCCATGAGGTCCATAGCAAGCATGCTTAGTCATTGTTCTGCAGTAAACTATTAGGATGGTTCATGTTCTTATGTATTTGCAAATTCTTTATATACATTCGATATTAGGATTTTATCAAAATGTGCTGTGAAGTCTTCAGTTTCCCACTCTAATTCTCAAACTGCAGCTATTGTGCTTTGCAAAAGGCTTTCAATTTATGTTGAAATGGTACGATTTGTCTTTTATCTCTATCCCTTAGATTAGAATTTTCTCAGCTGTAATTATAAAAGATATCTTCTTCCCTTATATGCTTTTTGTATAAAGTTTGATATTTACATCATTTATCTGTTTTCTTTTCTCTACTTTCTTTTTCTTTCATCTCTACCATGTCTCCCTGTTTTTGTACAAAAAGCCTAACCTTTTGTAAGCTATCAGCCACCCAGACCTCTTTTACATTGGCACAGTGAACAGGCCGAGATAATCCTGTCATATCAGAAGTAAGTTTTGTTGATTTTGTTTTTCTGTTTTATTCTTTTGCCTCAGAGATGGCTGTTTTGTTTCTAAAGTCTTTTTTTTTTTCTTAAAGAATACCTCCTAACTGTTTCTAGGTCTTGAGTGTCTACAGAAGTCTGGGGATTCATACGATAATTCTAGCAAGGGAATGGCACTCAGGCCATCTTGTCCAACTTTTTCCTTTTAGTTCTAGGTGGCTGATCTCCAATTAGCAGAAGCTTTACTATTAATGAGTTTACTTTAATGTGTTCACGGTTCAATACACATTGTGACAGCTTCTTATTCATTTCCAAATTGAACCTGTTAAGTGGAGTTATAAAATCTTCTAACTCCAAAGTATGTTCAGAAAGAAACCTTTATTTTGATTCTTTTATTTCTTAAACCCTTTTTGTATTTTATTTTTTAGGATACCAAATTGTGGATAATAATGGAATATCTTGGTGGAGGCTCTGCATTAGATCTAGTAAGTATAACCTTAGATTTTCCTCATGAAACATTTTCTTAGGGAAGCTTAAAAAAGAAAAGAATCACTGGCTATAGTTAAATTTTCATTTCCTTTTGTTTTTTTGCAATAGTAATATTTACATCAGAAGGAACCCGGCCCCTAAATCCCGCCAAATTTGCTCTTAACAGAATTGTTTGCTTTAGTTTTTCATAGCTTGAAATTACAATTATGATTTTGAAACCAATTTATTTCCTTTAACAGAATGATAAATGTTAAACCTATTCCTCAAAAGTCTTTCCCCAACCTGGTGATCTAAGAGAACTTCATTAATTTTACTTCTCTGACTGTGAAGACCTAGTGATGACAGTGATTCTCATCCTTCATATAACTGATACTTTGTCATTTGTAATTGAGCTTTAGAAACTCCCATATTTCTGTACTCTTTGAATGATGAGTTTCAAAATTAAATGGAACAAACCTTTGTTTAAAAATATTTTTAAAGACCATTCCTTGAAGTAGTGGGAAATCCCTAGTTAGGTTATCTCTGGTGCTTAGAATTTAGTTACTTCTGTTGTCAGAGCTTATAACTGACTTTGGGCCTTATCTTAAATGAGCTTTTTTTTTTTTTTTTTTTTTTTTTTTTGGGAGAGTGTGGCCTCTTTTGGGTCTTTTTAAGGCTTTTCCTTGGGTGGGGGTAGGAACCGATCTGATGATTTTACTACATAGGGAACTCTCAGATGGAGAAGCTCCCTCCACCAGTGTAGGTTGGTATCTTCTTTACTACTCATGTGTTAGAGAGTTGCTTAGAACACTGAGAGTAACTTGCCCAGGTTGCATAGCTAGTAGTATCAGACGCTGAACTTGAACTTAGGTCTTCCTTGCTCTGAGGCTGGTATTCTGTCTACTACTACTACTTTTCTTACTGTGAAACATTATAAAAATGTATTAGAGGGTTGAGTTTCACTTACAGTTACAAAGATAGGGAAAGTTTCCTAGCTTAAATTAATCATGGTTTTACACACAAATATAAATGTCAGGAGCAACTGTTTGACATTGCTCTGTGTTTCTGCTCCTGTTTTTGAGCTCAGTTGACTAGCCCAGTCCTGTCGAGGTGGAGTGCCTCACATTTCTAGTTGATGCAGATTCTGTTTGGCAAGGTCATTAATAATGTATGTCAGCCCATTTCCCCATCTCTGAACTCTGTATATAGAAGTCTGTGCCTAATTTAAAAAAAAAAAAAAAGGCAGTCTATGCCTGCCTCATGCACCTGCTTCTCAGACCCCTAAAACAAGCTCTCTTCCCAGGTTTCTGACAGGCAAAGAATGAGTTTGTAGTCAGTTGCCTCCCTTAGCATATGCTTTCTGGACATGGACCTGTAGACATTTGACTGCCCTCAAGTTCCAGTTAACCCATATAGGCTTCCTCCCCAGGACTTGGGCTATCTTGCGCTGACCTCACATTCCCCCCTTTTACCTTTCTGGAGATGTTAGTGGTTTGGATGCTTGCATGCCTGAAACAAATGCACTAGTTAATAGTGACTGAGCTTTTCTAGATCTGGAGGTATTAAATCTTTTTTATTATGGACCTCTTTAGCATTCTGGTGAATACTGTAGATCCCTTAGAATTATATTTTTAGATAATTAAAAGATGCTCAGTTTCAGTTAGAGGTTATTGAAAATAAAGATGTGATTTTTTTTTCTTCCCCCATCCAAGTTCAGGGATGGCTTGAAATCTTTCCATAAACCACCATATTTAGAACCCTTATCCTGTATTACCATCTTGACCTCTTCCTCTCTGGAGATCATACGGCTTATGACATAGGGGAAGGAAGAGGTTAGGTGATTTTTTGTTTGATATAGAAATCAGGGTGGAGGAGGTAGAAAATTAATTTGAGTTCTGAGAAGAATAGGTCATGCATACACAGCAGTCTTGAAGATTACAAAAGATTTTAGTCACATTTTGAAGAAGGTAATGTAAATATTATTTCCATTTTACAGACAAGGAAATTGAGGTTTAGATAAAGAGGCTTGTTTATAGGCAAGTAACTCGAGAAAGGGAAATGAAAAAGAATTTGAACCTAGATCTCCGACAAGTCCACTCTAATATTAAACTATTTTAAATTCATCTGGACCCATAACTCCTTTAGGTGATAAACACAATATATTTTCAAAATTCATATTTAATAGTGTTTACATAATGATTTTTAAAATAATAAGATAATGTCTCTAAATGTAAGGCATCTGAATTGTAATTAACAGGAAAAAAAAATCTGTTGATGTTGGATCTTCCAGTAGAATATAAGTTCCTTGAGGGTAGGGATGGTTTTCTTTTTGTCTTTGAATTTCCAGCACCTAATACAATGGTTAGCATGAAATGAATGCAGAAATATATATTGAAATGCAATTGGAAGGTTCATTTGAACATCGAGAAGAGTAGTAGGAATGTTGTGGGAAGAAAAATAACGTGGGGAGGGGGACAAAGTGTAAACAAACATATTAAAAACTCCCTAATGACTTGTCCTGTTCTACTACTTGATTATGATAAGCACATTAAATATGTTAATATCTTTTACTTCCTTATTTTCTTGGAAAATCGTGCTTTTAAAGGAAAGATTAGTTATAAATTATTCAGATTTTATGGAATTATATACACTAATGTCTTAAATTAAAACTTCATTTTAGCTACTCATAAAATTATTTAAAGGAGCTGTTTCTCTTACTTGGCATCATTGGCAAAATTTTCAAATCTTTAGGCTCTGAATGTTTTAGTTCATGTTAATAGTAATGATGATGATGGTCACACTAAGATGCTTATCTTATGGACTAAGGTGCCCTCTGAGGTCCCGTCTGAACTCTGAACTTGTGGTCTCGTTTGTTCCTTACAGTAGTCCTGTGAGTCAAGTACTACAGGTATTATACCCATTTTACAGCTAGAGTAGTTCATTGCTGGCATGTATCAGCAGCGGGAATCAAAACTAGTTTTCTGCTGACTCCAGACTTGGTATTCTTTCTACTGCACTGCACTGTTCGTTTTTACTACTACACTGATTTAATTATTTTTAATGGATTTTGGGGGACAGCCATGGTGAAGTGGAAAGCTCTCTAAACATAAAAGACATGACTAAGTATTTGGATGTGAGATTTAAGAGATTAAAAAAAAGAGTTTGTTTAATTTGGGGATCAGCTATGAGCTACCAATAAAAGAACAAAAAGGATTTTATTGACATTGTGTTTTCATCCTTCTCAGCTTGCTAACAAAGGGTATTTGGTCGTCTATTTGAAAATCTGTTATTTGTTAATTTGTTCTTGGAATACATTTATAGTTAAAACTTATTAAAAACATGTAGTTCAAGGATAACAGTATATCATTTCTTTTTCATGTTTTATTATTTTCTTTGTATTTTTGTCCCTCCTTTTCTCCCTTTCCCTTGATTAGTCTAGTTGGGGCAGGGAAAGGAGATCTTCAGTCATTTATATTCTTTGTAAATTGATGTCTCCTAGTTGTCACAATAATCCATAATATCTCTTTGCTTTTAGGCTGTGATACCAGTGAATAATCCTCCATTGAACCTTAGAACTTTATTGAATTAATGGAAAGCTGATATCTGGGTGGCTTAGTGGATAAAAGCTGGGCCTGGAGTCGGGAAGACCTAAGTTCAAATTTGGCCCGAGATCCTCATTAGTTTCATGATCCTGGGCAAGTCACTTAACTTCTGTTTGCCTAAACCACTGGAAGAGGAAATGGCACACCACTCTAGTATCTTTGCCAAGAAAACCTCACATGGGGTCACAGAGTCAGACATGACTGACCAACAATAAAACCACTTTGCTCATTTAGGGAAGCTAGGTGGCACAGTGGATAAATCTCCTGGCCTGGAGTCAGGAAGACCTGAGTTCAAATCTGGCCTCAGACACTTACTAGCTGTGTGACCTTGGGCAACTCATTTAACCTTGTTTGCCTCAGTCTCTTCATCTGTAAAATGAGCTGGAGAAGGAAATAGTAAACCACTCCAGTATCATTGCCAAGAAAACCTCAAATGGGGACATAAAGAGTTGGACGCAACTGAAATGACAGAACAAGATGATACCTTAATTTTTAATGTCACCTTTTTCTATCTAAACATTTTTATAAGATTCTTCATTTTAAAACATACCTCATGCTAGACAATAAAGATAGAATAATAAGAAAGCTTTGAAATGCCTTAGTTAACAAGGGTAGGGCTCAGGAGGTTTCAGGAACACTTCTGATGGCCTCTGAACTGGGGACAGATTAGTTCCTTAGACTTTGACTTTCAGATCAGCTCCCATTTTCCCTTCTTATATGGGTACTGGCCAAGTGCTTTTGAGGGGTGGAAAGGACTTGAATGATGGCCGCTGTAGCATGGGGCTATGTAAAAATGAGTAATTAGGTTTAGGGGAAACCAATAGAAAAGAAAGGATGACTTTTCTCTGCTATCCTTTCCTTTCTCCCCTTCTTTCTTATTGTTGTTCTAGTGTCTGTGGGTCTTTGACTAATAATTAGCTATGAACTTATTAAAGCACCATTTCAGATGAGGAGCACAGCAGAGACCACAGTTTCTTTAAGTATACTGTAGGTGTATTCAGAAAAACACTGCTTCTTCAGATTGCTGCAGGTCTGTCCCTTGGATAAACCTCCTAGCATCTGATCTGCTTCTTTGGGTGGCAATCATCTGCTCAGCTGGCAGGGGTACCTCTAATATTAACAGGATATGTATCCTTGAGTTCCCCTTTCCCAAAGGCCTTTCCTTCCTCTCTAGACAGAGAGTGTCTCTGGTACCTATAAGCTATATATGTCCCTGTGTTGTTCTCTGATTTTCTGTTGCCATCAGACCTCTGTGTGGGAGTGGGCAATGGAGGGAGGAGGGCAGAGATAATCTACTTGCTGCTTTAACGAAACTAATCACAAGAGCTTTCTTAGACTCTACATCAAAAGTAGAAGTTGGATGGGTGTGAGAAAAGGGAAAGCTGTATGACCATGAACAAGTCAACCACTCCAAG